TCATCATCATCATCATCATCATCATCATCATCATCATCATCATCATCCGCTGTTACTGGTTACTGGCAATGGGATAGACTCAAGATCCCTGTTCCCAAAGGTGGAACTTCACAGCAAGGCCTTTTGTCACTCAATGCGCCACAGTTTTCATTGAAACATGACCTCACTGGCCACCTTCAAGACCTTGTCATCGCTCCGGGGCCCTCACACACCCAATGTGGGTTTGGCCCATGTTCATCAACGCGGATCCATGGGGCTTCGCCCAATATCGTTTTTTTGGCTGCCGGGTGCTACTGGGAGTCTAAAAACCATGCGATGTGCTATCCACTGCCTCCAGTCGGTGTCAGCGTCCTTTGTTCAGTGTGTGTAAAAACCGTGGGCGCTAAGGGAATTTTGCGAAATAGATGGCACAAGTACATGTAGCTGCAGCACACAATCTGACAAGAAGATACAAGATATTAATGAGAGTTCTAGAACTGTACGCTGATCCCAACTCTCCTCAACATCCTCAACAAAACATAGTATGTTTCTCAAGAGGCCATTGTCCACTTCTATATGTTAGTGAGCCGGAGTTTAACACAATGCACCTGGCATCCTTGTGGTTCTTTTCTTCTTTCTGCGTGGCTTGCTCTGGGCTTCAAGGCTCGAGCTGGGCATCCAGTTCGGCAAATGGATCTTGCACGGGGGCTCGGACGTGCAAGTTGGGATGGAACGGGCGATGCAAAAACCATGTGCTCCCTGGCATCATGGAAGTGGAAGACCACTGACCACTCATTTATAGGACCAAAAAAGGTCCCTTGCCCATCCAAGGGACCATGAATCCCACTTCATTCCGCTTCCATGATTCCGCGGAGTGGTTGTCTGACGGACGGACCATCAAACTGAATTGATGTTCTCAAGGTTCACGTGCAGCACCATGTGTGTATTAATATGGTTAGCCAAGCTAACCACTGGTGGACCTAACCAATGTCCGGCTAACCGCTGGTGGACCGTAGTCTGACGGACCATATGTGCATGCGTATTTTAACCAAGCACATGCAAGCACATGCACAGATGCTGCCCAGTGCTTTTTTGCTATGTTTTTCTTTCTGAATCCCCCTGCCACTTGTCCAGGCATTCACGGAACATGGCTTTCTCACCCTGGATGGTCTCAAACCACCCCCCCGAAAAAAATAACCAATGCAGGAACTTCATCCCTTGCTGTGTGCTGGACACACAAAACGAATAAAGCTCCAAATTGAGCACAAGTTCAGACAAGTTCAGTCAACGGAAATGCATGATATATAGCACTTAATTGTGAAAAACTCCAGGAAGAAGAACTCGAACTCCTCCTCTTCTCGATCTTCACAGCCACCGACTCCTGTTCTCGTGTCGCGTTCCGCTCGGGCTTGGAGGCTGGAGAACATCGGCATCAACTTGGATCCTGCCCTCGAGCCGGTACTGGGACAGCAGAAGATCAAGGACCGTAACCCGACGTTTCCGGGGCCGAGGGAGGTCTCTGAGACGGTCGGAGGTCTTGGGTGTTTGGTTTTTTGTGTTGCTTTGAGGTGGGATCTCATGGGATGAGGTGTAGCAGGATAGAACATTTATAGCAGATGAGATGGGTACGTCATTGTACTCCATTTCACTGACGCGGAAGTGGATGGCGCCACTGGAAGGACCATTTATCACAAAGAGAGGTGCATGAGGTGGTGAACTCCACTTCCATGAGGTGATGCATGAGGTGGTGCAGGAGGTGCATGAGGTTTGTGAGTCAAAGGGTGTCATGGGTGCCCGTCCGACAGCACCACACCAGAGCCAGCTGCGCGCGGACTTCACAACCCGAGCTGAAGCTCGGGCCTGACGGCCGAAGTGGATGGCGGCCTGACACTGGGCACGTTCTTTGCCCTGACCTTCAAAGCAATCAGTCCCAAAGATGAATAGATTGAACAAAGACATTATATACATAATATATAGACTATAGATGATAGACTCGCAAGGGGTGTGTAGTCGACACCCCCTAAAAAAGGGGAATTGAATGGACACGTCCTGGTAGACGACTCGACAATGGGTTCTTGTGTCGGGGGCAGCAACATGATTTGAGCGCTGTCTTCAGTTTCGATGACCTGACCTGACAGTTTCCAATCCGATGTGAACATGTCACGTACGACGAGTCAGCAGCTATGTGAGCAAGCCGCATAGTGGCAGTCCTGAGAACGTTTGGAATGACATCCGCCATGTAAACGCATGGCCAAGTCAGATCGGACATTACTATTTAAAGCCAGTGAGGACTCAACATGAGTGCTGGGGTCCACCCTGAAGGAAAGTTCAGTTCACGCGAATCGCAGGTGTTGATTCTCCATGGAGAAGGTGAGAAGGTCCTTGTTCGCAGCATGTATGTGGACAATATACGCTATATATTCACCAAGCACATATCATACCAGGACCCTCCTGTGGGCGTGTCCATTTATAGCCCCTTATATAGCTGTGATTCGGGGTGTCCATTAACCACCCCGGTATATGGTCCTGGTATATGGTGGGTGTTCTTCCGTCCTTGTGTTGGATTCCCCGATTCTCCGCCGTCGGGGCAATCACAAGGCCGTGGCCCTGTGGAACCAATTGGTTTGAGGTGACCACATGCGCCGGGATGTTGTGACCACATACTTTAGACACATGCAACACGACGTGTTTCAGAATCATGCAACACGAAGAGTTACACGCATTGTATCGTTCAAGCATGCTGGTGCCTCTTTGAGCAGGTGAGAAGTAGACATTTTAATTAAGTAGTTTACAGTAGTTTCATCCTTTTGTTGATCTCTTTTGTATGTGTTTGGTTCGTTTGAGTCCACCAAATGGCCTGAACTAAGAACTCCTGCCACTCACCGAAGCGAAAAGCCCCCGTCAAACAGGACGGCTCAGGCTACGTCATCAAGCTGGGTGATAAGTCGGTGACCTACACCGATCCTGGGATGCGGATGCCCAAACTGCTGCCGAAACACTTAGATGTGGACCGGGGAGAGTGCCTGGATATAAACCTTAGATTTGACCGGGAAAGAGTGCCGGGGAGAGTGCCTGGGTAATTAAGTAACTTAAGTTTTGGGACTTGGATGGACTTAGACATTTTTCGGTTCACTGATTCATGTCCTCACGATTTTGGCGAACGGGCTTCACCTTGATGTCTTAGAGTGTAAGTGTTTGTTCTACCGGGGCCTGGCTCCGGGCCCAAGGGGAAGGCTTGGCTCGAGCACGATCGACCGATCACGCTTTACCGTGTGGAGCGACGCTTAGGAAACCTTCAAGTTCTTCATGACCACCACGTTGCCCAACCCACACTACTCGCCCGGGCCGCCTAAAATGGCGGAATGGGCGGTCTTTCACCCGAGTGGTTTCACCGAATCTTTACCGCGCAGGTTGAGGCGATTCAAACATGAATGGTAAGGGCGTGTTGGGCAGTTTGACAGACGAGCCACTTGGCTTCTATAACTTATATATACTATATAGTGATATCAGTGTTGTTTCCTCTTGGATCGCGCATGGGAAGTGGATAGCATCAAACTACAGGACTTGGAACAGCGTTGTCACCATCGGATTCATTCTCGACAGCTTGTACGATGCCACCATGGTGCCACCATACGACCACCATATGAATTCAGTTTTATATAGTGCCACCATGCCACCATGCCATACGTCCCGACCAATCCCGAACTCTTTCGACCAACCCCTTCGCTTCGCCGCAGCGAAGCGACGCGCGGCGGGCTGCGGCCCCATGACCCGTTGGGTGTTTGACAAAGCGATGGAGAACAAGGGCAACCTGGTTTGCAACGTTTCTCAGATTCAGCGATGGCCCCAAACCCTCCTTCCGATCTTTAGGACGAAAACATCTCGGACTCCCACCCTTCCCCGATCGAAACGCAACCCGAAACGCAAGGTTGAATGACCCGAACGTTGTTTTTATATCCCAGTCTGGTATTGCAGGTTTGGTCCGAAACCGGTCACTGAATTGTCTCTCGAAGGTAAAACCAGGTTTTGGATCATCCCGAGGCCAGAGACGTCGGTGAAGGTGACGCTGCTGGGGGCCCGAGCTGAAGACAAACCGGTGTCACTGGATGAGGCCTGTTTTACAAGTCACTGGATGGGACTCTAACAAGGTCACAAACTGAAGAAGCTGGTGGAGAGTTTCGATAGATTTCTATGTAGATGTTTGTAGGTCGCATGGCGCCGCATGGGGTTCACAAGAGAACAGGAATTGTGGGGAATTTGGTGATTTTCCAACCTGTCAGATGTCAGATGTGATCTTCAGGACGACGTCTTCCCATCAGAGATGATGGATGGCTTGTCGACAGGGAGATAAACCTTAGAGGCCTTAGAGGTCATCAGGGTGACATCATGAGAGTAGTTCACTGGTTAGACTAACAGGGCGGCACCAACCCCCTTATTTATATATATATATATATGTTTCCAGACACGTGCGGCGTGTGTTTGGGTTGCTTGGGTGCATGAACTGGATGCTCCAAGCACATCTGGAGACACCAAATTCTGGAGGGCGACAATTCTGAGGCAGCCGCTTTGATTTCCCCAGAGACAAGATGCAAAGCAACAGAGAACGTTTGAATCCAGATAAAGCACCGTGGTGAATAGTTTGATGGATGGATTTGTGCACGCAAGCGCGTTTTCTGTTGTGCCTTTTTCCAGTGTTAAATGACAAGAGGGAAAATAGATGGAACATCGAAAGATAATCTGATGAAAATTGGTGGAATACAGTGTTTTGTTTGCTGTTCCACCTGCCAATGGAAGGCAGCAGGGAAAGACAATGTGAAGCAAGGATTGAGTCAGAAGATGAACTACATTAGTTATGTTGAAACCCAACAACAGGTGGGGAAAGAACCTTTAAAGGTTTTGGAAAGGAAATCCGAAGGGCTTGGAAATGAAATGCAAAGGGTGTAGTAGCTGCTGCTATTTCTTTCAGTTCCGAAAAGCTCTTGAAAGATGGTTGTCATCGTCAGGTAGAACAAGTGTTGTTGCATTATGTTGCACTTTGTGCGCGCACTTGTTTTCATTGTACTTGTTTTGCAGCCAGCGTTTGCATGCCGGAGCATGTGCTTGTTGAAAGGGGTTGTGCGCTTGACAAGCTTTCTGGTTTTCTGATCACACCTGCGACTGCAGTTTTAACCTCACAAATCCTAGCAAACAAGAAACCAATTATTGGTCGGATCCAAAAGAAACCGAGGTGTCATGTTCAGACCTTGAGAATTTGTTTATGTATTTATGGCAATGTTTGATTTTCAACCAACGCCACACTGATACCAAATTCAGCCCCCTCAACTTCCTGTTTTGGATGCCAATGGCCGCGAACATGTAGATTTGTGCTCCGCATGAAGCCCCAAATCAGACGAGTACTACATGCGGTTGCTTTGGCAGCTATTTGGCGGTGGGCAGGAACACTGGCGTTTGCAACACCACAGACTAGATGTTCTACACGGGATCTCATGTCCAGAAGTGTTCCAAATGTGCTTTCTGTTTTCTTTGATGCAGCTCAAGATCCAGCTGTGCAAGCTGCATGGGCTACCGTGGCATCGAAATTGACATTTGCAGCCCAGCTGTTGAAAAGTTGTCAACAAGTGCAGACATTTGCCAGCGAATGGAAACACAAGCACCTTTTGAAGGTGAAGATGCGCAGTGTGCCAAGAACCATGCATCAGAGTTAGCAGGAGAGATTGAAAAAGCCGTGACTGCAGGACAGAATGTTCTGATCCCGTTTGCGCAAGAGGAAGACTTGCCTCTTCTGCCAATCAGAGGTACACCCTTCGAGAAACTCATGGTTGCAACGCTTCGGAATACCAGCATGATTGGAGTCTACGCGGTGCATGCGGAGCCAGGTGCCGGAAAGTCAACTGCCGCAGCACTGGCAGCGCTTGAACTGTTAGGGAGACAGACGAAGGATATAATCATGCTTTTGCAGAACGACTTTGAACGGCAACTAAAGAGCTTCTTGCGCCTCTCCAATGTGGAGTTTACTGCAGAAATTGTTCGCCCCCTCTTCACCATTCTGAAAGAGAAGGGGATCAGACTGAAGTACTTTTTGACAATGTTCTGGATGGTGGTATTCTCAATCAGGGAGATAGAGTGAGAGTGCTTGCCCGGGCTGCATGTGACAACCTTCACCAGATCATTTTCATCGTGCAGAGTGAAACTGCAGCGGAAGAGATTTCCCGTCTCAATGGTGATGCTACGAAGATATCACCGCAGCAGATGCCAGGAACGTTCTACCGATGGTCTGAACAGACGCGGGCGCGCGCTTCTGAATTGCTTGGATATGCAAAAACTACTGCAAAAACTATTGAAGAAGCGAAGAAAACCAGCTGATGCAGGAGCTGAAGAAGTAGACGTCTTAGACGGTCTCATGGCTGAAGTTCTAGAGCAGTCGAAGATCCCTGATGCATATATGGCTGCTGGAGACCCAGAAGTACCAAACGATACATCATGACTGGAGATAGACCAACTGCACTTCTCCCTATCACAGACTGGGTGAGGCAGCTCCAGAAGGACTGACGACAGTTCCACATGAAACGCATGATTAGTATAGCAAAAACTGCAGAGAAGAACCCACCCCCAAACAATCAGAAGTACAGTAGTCGTTTCCTTTCCTTTGTATGTTTTCTGCCATGCCCTTGTTCCTTTGCTGTGCCCTTTTGTTAGGTGTAGGAAGAACTATTTTTGACAAAAAGCCATGCCCCAAAATAAAGCGTGATGAAGGGTAAGTCCACTGTGCAAGATAATACACTGTGTTCAGGACTTTTAGGGAGAAGCTTGCAGGGTCGTTCATTCCTCAGGATTTATGAAATATGTATTGAAATAAGATTCCTCAATTTGATAAAGATGATTTAGACTAAAGACTTTGTATGATTTTCTGCCATGCCCTTTGGCATGTTTGGTCCTTTGCTGTGCCCTTTGGTAAGTAAATGCGAGTAGCACACGGTTGGAAAGGGTTGAGTTTGAATGTCTCGACTGACCTTGAAGGACGACAATGGCGGCTTCAAGTTCGTCAGCAATGCTTTCCAGATTGACCCTGCACCTTCAAACATTGTGCACTTGACATGTTCTCATCCCAGCCATATCATTGCCATTCCGCTTTTTTTTCTGGCATTTTCGTTTGCAAACCCTCCGTTGACAGGATTATTTGAAGAAGGTGCAGATCTCAAACTGAATTTCTTTCATTTTGTTTTGGAACAGCTTTGAGATGGGCAATGACGAGGATTAAGCAGAGCGACCATCTTTGCAACACGTGCTGTGAGTTCATCGTTTGCGTTCATGTCCAATAGTGCCTTAGTTGATGTCGAGAAGAAGACAAAGCAGACAGTGATAAAAGCCAGAACATGTTTTCTTGAAAGCAACAGCGTATGGGTGGTATTGTCATTCGGCTTTCGGGCGATCAAGACCGAAAATGCAGCCACAGTCCAATGCGACGCCTTCCAAATCGAAATATTTAGTCAACAGGAGGAGCCGTTGTTTGTGCCCCCAACTCATTTGCTAGTTGCAGTAGCTTCAATGACCGACCTACCAGTTCGTGTCTTCTCCATTGTAAGATGCGTAATCTGTTTTGTTGTGGCAAGCTTTGCACTTTGGTTTTGTGTTTGTGCGATTTTATATATTTTGTTTTCCTTTAAAGGGATGATATATACTATATCAAACTAGGAACTAATGAGTTGAAGAGGCAACTTGCCACAACCGAATGTTGAGCGGCTGGTACAGAAGCCGCAAGCTGTTCAACACAGCGTTTCACCCAAACGGGCAACAGCCACCGAAAATGGAGTGGCAAAAACTCATGGGAGTGGTGATTGGTTTGATGGATAGCTTTGTGCCAGTGTGAAATGACAAGAGTGAAATTAGATTTAGATGAAACATCGAATGAATATCTGGAAATTTTCCTGGCACCCACCCCAACCACCTTCAAAGCGGTAGTTGGAGCCGGGAGCTGATCTCTAGAGGCCCTGGTAGAGGCCTTGGGAGTCCCTGACCCTCTCAGGTTGAACTTCGCCATCACTCCCAGTGGGCTCGAGGACGATTCTTGGGAGTGATGGAGTTGTGGAGTTGTTGACATGACAGCCAGGCGTTATGACAGCCTGCAGGCGTGATTTTAGCCGTGATTCGCTGAATTCGGAGTGCAGGTTGCTAATCACCAGTGTGTTCAACTGCAATTCATATAGGAATTCGTTCTTTCACATGACAAACCGCTGACAAGAAGCTCATCCAGAATCCAACCACCCTGCGAATCCTGCCCAAAGACCACGGTGCTGGGTCCCCACCGTTGTTGGTCCGATCCGGCATCATGGGAATCGGAGTGGGGTCCTGCGCCATCTCATTCAAGCCACGCTCCAACATCCAAAGTTTAAAAACATGTTCAAGGTCAGAATTGACAACATGTCAGCCCACAAGCCAAAATGGACCAACCCCGGTCCAGGTCTAGTTACTCTCAAGATGCATCTATGTTAGGCTAAGTCGGCTAGAAAAAGTGGTGTTTGCCTTTCATGATTTCTCCATATTCTCGGGCCAATGTGCCAACACTAATATGAACCGCTTTCCAACCTCATCCGTATAGGCCAAACACTCACACTAACATACACCAAGATTTTTTTTGGGGGAACTGTTATTCTTCCTGGGTGTAACGGATTAAGAGTAGATGGCACAGACCTCAAGCATCCTCAAGAGGTGTTTATAGGTTTATAAGGACCCCCATTTGTCTAGGACATCATGGGGTCTGTGCCATCTACTCTGAAATCGCTGTAGATTGGTGATGAATTCTACCCTCCACATGGAGATGTAAAGCAATTCTGTGAGGGTTTATCAAGCGACAACAGCTTATTACATTAAATTCAGGGCGTGCGTACATGGATTGCCGCAGGATCAGATGTTGGGCATCGTCGTGGCCAAAGAACGTCTCTCGTCGAAGCTGTGTCATTTGAGAGGTTCAATTTTGAGGACGCCTAGAATTCATTGACGTAGATGTCCTCTTTTCTTTTGGTTCTACTCTTACCTCATCAGGCATGTGACATCTACTAAGACGAATGGTTTACACAATCTTCAACGGCATGTGGCTTTTTCAGGCCATGTCGGCCTGGCCTGCGGGCCATGTGCCATGTGCCCGGCTCCTGTAGGCCCCGACCTGGAAGAAGAGAAGAACAACTTGGTCGTGCAGAATGCCAAGAACAACAAGATCCTGAAAGATATCGAGGTTGGCGTGGCGGGGGTCGGAGCGCCCTCTTGGCTCTTTGGGGGGTGGCGTGGGGTGGTGGTCCCTTCGAATATTTCAATATGTTTCTCTCCAGGATGGTCGATGTTGGAGTGGCCGGGATGGTGCAGTGAGCTTTTTACGCATCCAAGACCCAGGAAGTAAATGCCATGAACTCCGCAAGACCTGCCGTGTTGTTCAGTCCCTGTCCTTTGGGTACAACAGGTGACGCAGTCCAATTTCCGCGCTCATACCTCAAATACCTCAAGAGCCCATGCAGGCTTGTCATCAACTCCCAATTGCAAACACTCCAGCAAACAATGACTTGCAAAACTCCTAGTCCTAGTACAAGAGCGCAGTAGAGTGCAGGTTGGCAGGCAGTTGTTGCAGGTGTCATTAGCCTTTTTATGTCTTTTTTTACTGGTAGTCCAAGTGCAATTCAGTGCCCCTGCGTTCCTTTGGGTTCATGCCACTTGATTGCCTACACTCGTGGCTTCAGCCGTGGCTTCAGCCGCGTGTCGTCTCAGCCTTGGCAGGATGACATCCTGCGCTTGCTGGCGACCAGTGAAGGAGACGTCTTGGAAGACGACACCTTGGTGGATAAGGCGCGGTCCTGAACACCGGTCAGTGAGGAAGGTTCCTTCCTTCCCACCGCCCCCAGGTCATGACCAGATCCAGCAATAGGTTTGTGACAAGCGGGACAGGGGGACTGACCAGATTTGCTTGCATTTGACATGCATCGGGCATATTGATATAACATGATATCACAATCAGATGTGACACAATCAGAGGTGACTGCAGTTTTGGAATGGTCCATGATGGATTGTTTGTTTGGGATGCCTTCCGTTGTTGGTGACTTTGGCTTCTCACTCCAAAAAGGTACATTTTGCTGTTCGAGGGGCACCGGTTTCTGCAACCATACTGGTTGAAGGGCATCCAATCTCGAAGCAGCTCAACAAACCCCGTACTGCAGGGTTGAAGGGTACTGCAGCATGGGGCATCTTTGTGAGACGACAGGGTCTTCCACGGGGGGTTCTCTCAAATCGACGGGCACGTGTCTCAAATCCTTCCCAAAGTGGGCATGTTCAGAACCTCTTGGAAGGCTAAAGGTTTACATCAATGGGTCCAAAAAAAGGACTACGAGACGTTTCCAGCACCAAGCGCAGGGCATCATGGCACCCCTGAACGGATCCGCACGGCTCGTGGTCGTTGTCGTTGTCGTTGCGGCCAGGTCACCGATTCCAAGGCCGTCTCGGATGACATCAACGAGAAGAAGAAGGTCGCAGAGGTGCGGTCAACATCGCGCCGGGTCCGACCCTGGTGCGGTGAAGCGGCTTGTGGCTTCCATCAATGAAACAATCTTGCCTCGTTTCGCGCGGTCGCGAAGGTTGGAAGATCATTTGTCCCATGCGTTGCAGTCCGTTCGCCGACTCAGCGGGACTCAAAAAGTGTGCGCAAAAAGTGTGTCTCTTTCCCCATGTCGACATTTGTCCCGAAGACCATTCCCGGCGACGAAGCCATGTGAGCCATGGTCTCACATGCTTCAGGTCACGGAGAAGAACATCGACACAGCACGGGAGAGCTACCGCCCAGTGGCCTTCCGAACAGCAGTCTCTTGGAGAGACGCGCGAGGTGGTCTTATGACGACATGTGGCCTGAGAAGGGCGGTGGAGATGAGAAGGGCGACATATGTTATTTCTAGCCAGGGCCAGATGTTCTTAAGACGAGATGTGGCTTCAAAAAATTGGAGATCTATGAATTAATATGAGTGTTCAGGTGTTCAATATTATACCTCGTGCTCTTTCATCTGAAGAATTTCGTTGGATTCAGACCCCAAGTCTGAGTCTTATGCGCTTCCTGAGGTCCTGTTCTTTTGCATCGTGGAGCTCACAAACATCGATCCTATGTATCAGCCGCTTGGATGAATGGTGGGGTACATAGTGTTGAGGCTGCTTGGCCTATATAGACCCCCAGATAGATAGAAAGGCAACATCCCCTTGGGACCACGATCTATTGAAACAGGCAAGAAGAGGGCGAAGATAGTCCTATGATCTGGGAATTGTGTTCGAAAGAATCATTGGCATCCAAGGGCCCTTAGTTCACCGTACCCTACAGGTCCAGTCGGGCCTGGCGTGAAGCCTGGTCTGACTGGCCTCATTGTTCGTGCTGGTTTTGCATTTTCTCGGATCATCCCGGATCCAGTTTTTCAGAGGTCCGTAAGACCTGTAGGGGTAGATGACGCCCACCCTTGGGTGCGTTTGCTTGGTCACCTGCGCGAGTTGTTTTGAAGCTCTTGGGTGCTGGCACCACCTGCAACCCTGAAGGTACAGCCTCCAGTGGTTCCAGAAGCTCTTCACCATCGCCATTGACACCTCTCCCAAGGCGGAGGACTTGGAAGAGCGTGGCTCAGTGGCAATGGTGAGACGTCCAGTGCTGCAGGCTGATCAGTCAGTCGCAGATCAGTGACAGCACCTCATTGACGCTTGAAATGGTCCAAGTACAGCTCCAACCACCTCGCAGGGTGGGTGGGATGACTTTGGGGGGGTCTACCTTTTGAGAAGGTACTTGGAGCCAGGTTAATGGATAGCATTACTCCATGAGCCCTTTCTAGTCACTAGTCACTCACTAGTTGGAGATCTCTCCTGTCACGGGGGATGACTAGGTTCTTGCTTGATAAACAATCCGCTCCTTGGCACTCCAACTTGCCGTTCTTGCCAACACCCCACTTTTATTTAACTGTTCAATATTGGATCTCATTTGCATGCATAAGATTTCACCACGACAATCCTTGAAGTGAACATCATGTTTACATGCTTATCCCTGCCCCTGCTACACTGTTGCGTGGCTTTCTCATTGATGTCTCTTGTTTATCCTTTCTCCTCAAGCTTCTCGAGGCCTGGGCATCTTGAAGAGCTTCTTCACAGAGCAGCTCTATCAATCCATCTGCCGTGGCCTTTTTGAGAAGGAGACCGACTCGACCGACCCCAGACCCTGTCAGAACAAGAGACCCAAACAGCGAGACGGTCGAGCAATGACCACAACACCAAAGCAAGAGCCAAGAGTTGCACTCTGCGCTAAGAGGAGAACTGTAGGACTGCATGTGCAGTAGTTGCTGTAGTTGTGCGAGCGAAAACAGCAAGGACACGCCACGTTGTTTGTTGGCGATGTTTTCAGCAACACATTGATAGTTGGCAATGAAGAACAATTCATCAAAGGTTGCCATCAGAGCATTTTCCACATGAACTATGCATGACTCACACAACCTTTTCTACCATCCCTCGGATGGCCTTGCTGGGCCATGGACCTCGCCGTCAGGATAAGACCTTGTTCTCCTTCGCGCTTTGCACCAGCATCCTGAGAGGCGAACCGTGTCTGAGTGAATCATGGGCACCCAGTTGGGAACTCCAAAGGGAGGCCCTAACCTCCGTTAAGCATCCCTTTGGAAGATTTTGGAACTGCTGGGTCTATTCTTACTTCAAAGTTTCTACCTTGAAACATGCCTGGGTTGTTTATCCCATGGAGGGTTCACCCATGTTCTGTGGTTTTTCACGCCTGAAGTGGCTCTCAGCCTGGAAACAGCATACGCAGATCATCGCTCCTTTGGATGTGTGTTCTGTCCAGCGTCTCCCACAACAAGCTAGCTTTGCAGGTGACAAAATGATGGATGACACAGAGCTCCGCTTCTTGCTGGTTCTTTGGCAGGATGTGAAGCTGAAGTCGAGCAGTATTTGCCTTGACTCGTGCGTTGAGGGACAAAGCTTGGCCGTTGAAGGTTGATCGTGTTGAGGATTTCTTCTAGTGGAGTCAGTCCGCTTGTAGTGTCGGACCAATGGAAGTGTGCGAAAACTCGTCCGTGCTTGATTTAAAGCGATGTTGAACAGGGCAAAGATCAAGCAATATCGATAATTTTTGACCGTTTGCCCAAAGAATCAGAGAAGTTGCCTTGCTTTTCAGACATCCAAATCCCGACTCAAAGGTTCCCGCATATCAAACAGATGAAGCCCAGGTGGGCCCGACCGCGGATTTGGTGGAGAATGGCCCCGCCATCCCGGCTGAGTGGGTGGGGAAGCAGCGCTGGAATGAGATTTTGACCATCTCCAGCTTGACCGCCTTCCATGGCTTTTCGGAGTCTTGGACTGCGGGCGAAGTCTTGGATCGGGTCTTGGATCGGAGATGGATAGAAAGGAAGAGAGAGCAGCGTCCAGTGTTTGGTGAGAAGAAGGAACGTTCTGGCTATAGACCAAACAGGTTTTAAAGTGAATTGAGAAACACGTGGATGAAGGGTTTGGAAATGATCCAGTACATATGGTTATATAGTAGCATAGTAACCCTGAAGTAGGGAGATGGTGGTTCAATATGCAATCTTGTGTCCATCTATATGATATTGTACGCAAATGTTTGAGTGCTTGTAGAGGGACTTCCATGATCTTCAATGTGCGACTCAGGACTACTTTGCCACGCACGTGGACGAGTTTAAGCCCATCTATGACTCGGTCGAGGCAGACAAAGAGCCCTTGCCTGCGGCCTGGGAGGAGAAGCTGGGCTAAGAACCAGATCCGCCATCACTGTGGGACCAATATTGCATCATCCACTTTTGGGAATTCATTTGGCTTGTAAGAAGGGCAAGTTACAGCATGCGGGAGTTCAGGTGCAGGAGGAGTTTAGGATAGTTTCAATTTGATAGACCCACTCGTTTTCGGCTTGCGCAACCGCCACACGTGTTCCCCAAATTGTCTTCAATCGCCTCGCACGTCATGGGCCCGCGTGCGATGCATTCTACCTGCATGGCATGATCGAGGCATTTTTGTCCATGGCGCGAGCCTAGGAAGCTGTCACCACTGCAGAAGATTTGCTTCATCCGAGCCATGCGCACCATGGCGAGCCGGAGAACGGGGGCTGCTGAGGTGCGCACCATGGGATGATACGGGGAGATGTTTATTTTGGATGGAGCGGAGATGCTGTAAACATCATGAGAAGATGAGAAGGAAGAACATCATGGCGACTCTCAAGAGTCCGAGTCCATGTGTTTGTGGCATTGGAGCCATGTAGGAATCGGCTGACCAAAGCCGTCCAGAGTCCCATCCATGTATCCATGTTTAATGTGATGTTTCTAGAGGAGGGACCAAGTAATGAACACTGTGCCAGATGCAGGACAAAGACAGCTCGCACAGCCAGAGGTGCATGTTTGGCTCTTGTTCAGAGAGCCAACCGGCCGAATCGCTGGTTGGATTTGGAACGGGGGGCTATGATGTTTTTATATAATCCCCAAGTGCCAACCATTCGGACTGGTGTCACAAGGCTGTTGGGATGAAAATCATGGCCTTTTCGCACTTCTGGGTGCAAGTAGAAGTCAATTACATCCCTATACCGATACCGCCGCTGGACTCAGGAATCGACTGCTTGAAGGCTGCGGTGATTTCGTTCATCTCCAACCAGATTCTGGGAAGTGTTTAGAGGTATTAGGGGTCCATCAAAATAGGGAGACCTCCAGTTGAACCCCTTAGAAGAAAGGGACATGGGAAAAAACGGGTCTCCGTGTTACATTACGCACCCGTATACGGATGTGGCTGAGATTTATGATCACATCTTATTATATGTTGATATTTCATGATATTTCCACCGACGACACTCTCAAACTCTCTACCCATTTGGTTCGACGTGACATGTCATCAAATCTTCAAAAGCGGAATTCGAGGGCGCCTCCGTACATCCCAAATTGTATGTCAGTTCTGTATGGTGATGTGTGCATGCCCTCCCCCCCCATTCGAATGACCTCCCCAATTTGTGTGCCTGTGTGAGAGAAAAAAAGGCGTCCACAGTCCACAGCGTCCTTGCTGCGTCCGACTGTGTCCCAACAAGGATCGGAACCAAGTTCGTGGAGCCCCCCACCTTTGACATCAGCAAGTCCTTCGCAGACTCGGTTTCTCGGCGGGCGTTGTAATTGGGCTGAAGGTTTTCGGCATGGCTGAAGGTTTTTGTTGGCAAGATCTTTCCTGCAGCCAGAGAGTCACATGGAAAGGCCAAGTTGGAAGAGCATCAATAAAAGTGGATGAATGTTTCAGAGAGGTTTTCAGGCAGAACGATGGTTTTCAGGCAGAACGATGGAATTGTCCAACTTGTTTTCACGTCCTCATGACCTGACCTTCGGCCTAGGCCGGCCTTGGACATTCCAACCTCTCCACGGCGGGAGCGGTGCTGACTCGGGGTGACGGTGGTCATGGGTGGACATAGAAAAAGGTCCCTAATGAAGTACATGTATACTACGTATAGCCCTCAAACATCGCAAGGAAACCCAGTTCCGTCTTCAGAACTTGAATTTTTGGTAAACTCTTAAAGACTACCCGTGATCGGTAGCTGGTTCCCGTGTCGTGTGAGTCCCGCTTGAAGCGCTTCGTCCCTTCTTTGCTGTGCATCCCTGCGCTCCAAGGTGAACACCACTCCGTTGATTTTCATCCTGTCGCCGGGCACGGATCCTGTCTCAGATGTCACTTGGGCTATTTGTTTTGAGTGGATGGGAGTGGAGCGATGAACACATGAGCTGGCAACAAGACAATCATCCACAATCATCATCTACAATCTACTGGGTTCCTTGGGTGAGGTTGCCATGTTCTTTGCAATTTTAAGGTGCCTTCACCTTACTTTTCACGGACAGACCCTTAAGTTGAGAGGCATGTAAAGGCACGGCATGTAAAGGCCATGATCGGCCGGAGGCTTTCGGCAGTTCAAAATAGTGGTCCGTGAGATTCTAGGTGCCTGGTTCTTCTAAGTGACCTTTTGATCCCCTGGTTTGGGGTCACTTAGGCCTGTAATAGGTCACTTTTTGGGACTCCAAAAAGGTCGCTTGAAAGAAGCTGGTGGTTTGATTCATGTTCCTTCCGTTTTGAATCCTTTTTTCGCGGATTCCATACATCTCAGAATTGGTTCAAGGGAAAACCTTACTGCAGGAAACCCATAGTATGGGGTGAACACCAGTGTTTTTGTTGTTGATGTTCTCCTTTTCATCCTCCGTTCATCCGTTCACCTCCACCATGTCTCATACATCTCGCTGGGGAGGTGATTGCTTTCGCGGACAAGTTGGGCATGTTGAAGCGCTTCGAGTCCATTTCCTTGGGCCAAGGCCAAGGCCCCAAGGCCTGGACTCAAACGCGTTGGACTGGGTTGAAGAAGACGTTGAGACTGGAATCTCAAGAGACTCAACACTCATTTGATGGATGTTGGTGAGGCTACTTCTCAAGTGTGTGTTCAGTTTGGAAGCTGCACACGAGTTTGTCCCGTCATAGGCGATGAAGCTCATCGAGACGGCTCAAGGCTGACTGGGCAACACCAGAGACCTCGCAAAAACATGTCCATGTTGTCCCCCCCTCGTAGAAGGGTGGGCATCGATTCCTTGAAGCATGTGGAGAAGCAAAACTCTTGGTCAAAGTACTGGGCAAATCAGTTAGTCCAGATACGCAAGCAGAAGACGAGACACAAGAGCCCGTGGACGTCAATGTGCGTGGCACCTTTCACTTGGATGTCCTTGGCTGATGAATGCGTTGAAGAAGCAGTTCACATTCCATATCAGGTGATCCTTGAAGGAGACCCTTCGTCACTTGCACCCGGCAAAGCCTCAGGTTAATTGCTTGGTTGTTGGACGCAGACACAGACTTGTTGATTGTTGGGTCTCAAGTCCTTTCCCATCAAAAGCGCAACAACCTCAACATGTTTTTGGATGTTTTTGACAGCCAAGGGGCCGCGGAGGCGTTTGTCTTTTCCTTTGAATGTTATCATAACAGGGACTCAACTCATTGACTCTAGAAGGGGCCTGGGCCCCCCTTTGGATTTACGCTTGCACGATGTTTTGGATCCACAGCAGCCTGCCTTACAGCCACACGATACACTACCCGCCGCCACCCGCCCATTTTAAGACATTCATTTGAGTTGAGCCATTTGGCCCAGACTGGTTGAAAGGGAAACCAAGAACAAGGTGTTCTGGGCACCCCTAACCTCCAATAGGCACCCCGTCTTGTGATTGCTGGTGTAAACCTGTAGTCGTATTGACGCAGACCCTTTTTCTATCCGCCCCTCCAGGTGGTGGCGGATGGGTCTTGCTCTCCAACTGCCACTTGATGGAGAGCTGGATGCCGACCCTAGAGGCCATCGTGGAGCAATTCAACCCAGACAACATGCAGACCAGCCCCTTGGACGCCAACCTGGTCGGTCCGGCGATTTTGTTGGTGTGTTTTCCCACTCCCTCCTCAGAACCATCAACCGGTCGCGGCCCATCCTCCAAATCTTCCGAGGCTTTCGGCTTTGGCTCACCTCCATGCCGGCAAAGAGCTTCCCAGTGCAGGTCCTGCAGAACGGAGTGAAGATGACCAATGAGCCGCCCAGTGGCCTGCGGGCCTCCTGGTCCGCGAGAAGGGTGGAAGGGTCGATCGGGCTACTTCGGAAGAAGGCAGCAATTCACCAACGACACCTCTTGATGCACGCTCGTCCTTCCGGTCCATGTCCGGAACCTACGGGAAAATAGGGCCGAAAAGGGCCACGAACGGGTGGTTATTGGAAAAGCCCAGCAAGCAAATCACCCTATCCTCGGGGTCAATATGCCTCGAGGATGCAGGATAGATCCTAAGTCACACCAGGCAAGCTACGGATGACATCCTTGGTCGGTAGGATGCCTCGCAGCGAACATGACAATTTGAGGGGTTTTCAGAAACCTTTCAGTGATGAGAACTACACATCCCTGAGAACTAAGTACACCTGGCCATCCGAACCTCGGTTGCTTCCAAGCATCTTCCACGTCCTTTAATCAGCACCTGGCTCGCCGACCGCCCCACGTGGGCGCTCGCGCGCCAACCTAACGCAGCACACTGAGGCGAACCTGCTCCGCAGTTACTCCGCCCTGAGCGACGAGGTCTTCAAGGAGTCCAACAAGCCTGACGCTCGGTGGGCCTTCAGCGACGGCGAGCGCCGGGGGCGCGCGTGCGCGTGCGCGCTGCGTTTTGGGGTTGATGGGGCTATACGGCTATACTACTGTAGAAGCGTCCTTGCTACTAGTCATGCCCTGGATTCCGAGTAGTTAGTAATTAGCGGCTATGCCCTTGTGACTATAGTCAACTAAGATGATGTAGAATGTAGAAGACTCAAAAGAGTCTATCAGTGTGTTGTGGCACCTGGTCATGATGTCTATAGAGGTTGGAAGTGAAAGAGGGTGAGCTCCAGAAGCCCTTGTAGCGTAGTGTCCGATATCCTGGTTTAAGCTCTGTTTTGTTTGTGGGCGGGAATGAAAAAAACACAAAACACATCAAAACACATAATATGGTTTGTTGAACATGGTCGCTACTTTTTGTTTCTCTTGGACTCTTGGAATAGGTGGTGTCCACCTTCATGATTATTGGATGGAGGGCATATCATACTGAACCAGTGATCGTGGGCTGGGCATTTCGCCTAGAACAGACCAAATTCCTCCAAGGACCTTCTTAGAAGGTGGGACTGGGGTGGGTTTAGAGGGTCCAAGTTATCTCGAAAACCGCGCCACCACTGTAGTTTGGGGGGGACTTGTGCCCTGTGCGCTTGGTAGTGTTCTTACCTCCGCTGCCTTGGAAGCACAGTGACATTTGGTCAGCGCATGCACCCATTTTGTCAGGCATTTTCAGATGAAGTGGTGGGTCCCAAATGAGGTGGAACTGATTCCGTTTCAGCCGAAACCTATTTGATCCAAAAGAATCGTTTAACTTGAAGAAACCGTCAGGATTGCAAAAACACGATTCCTCCTTTTGTGCGCACGAAATTCACCAAATTGCAATATCTTCAGTTGTGCCCGTGGCGTGGCGCTCTCAGGAGATTTTCAAGGTCCTGCTCTTCGGCTTCTGCTTCTTCCATGCGGTGGTCCAGGACCGGCGGAAGTTCGGACCCATTGGCTGGAACATCGCCCCTCGGCTTTGGGGATCTTTGGGGTGTGGAGACGGAATCGGTGGCCAGAAGGCTTGGGGAGAACAAAGAAACACCAGTGTTCAAAGGGGATTCACCAGGTGGATGGTCAAGGAAACGAAGTATTTTTGTGGACTCATTTTTTTTTCTTCAGGCGCGCTTATTTGAGTATTCAATGTCCCGTTTGAGTATTCAGTGTAGACCAGCTCTTTCGATGTATTTCACACGCCACCAATATAAGCTGGCATGTCTAGGTCGCCACAGTGCCATAAAAGACACATATAAGGGTGAAGAGGTTAGCCAGATAGCCTGTCATTTCTGGCGGGCTGGAACATCGAGGAAAACCAATCATCGCACTCAGAATCATGCTCTACACATTTGCTAGGGACTCAGGGGTTGGCCCAGGGTTGGCCCTTAATTGGCAAACGGGGACAAGCATGTTCAGTTTACGATCCAGTGTCATATCCCACATATCCTCCAACCTCACTCTTGCAAATAGTGGGACATGGTCCGGTTGAGGTGGTTTTACAGAAGTTCTCCCTTCAGAAGGGCAAACCGTCGTCAGCTGCATGCTCTTCGTGCCAGCCACGTTTCCACGGTTGCACCGTTCTTGCTTCCCACACCAGGCGTACGGCTTCACACCAGAGGATTTGCTCGTTTGCAGACAGCAGCTCATGCTCTTCGTGAACCAGTATGATCAAGTTCCCTACAAGGCGTCTCTGGCGACGTCGGCGGAGGATCCGAACGGACACGTCATGCATTGGGATGTTGGGGGGAGGGGAGGGAACTCCGCGCGTTGCAGGTGCTGAACTTCCTGGGGGCGAAGATCAACTATGGAGGGCGCGTGACAGACGACAAAGATAAGCTCTTGATCTCCACGATTCTGCATGCTGGCTGCAAACCCATGCGAGGGCCAGAGAATTCCGACTGTTTTTACTAGATTGTTTTGGGGGGTTGGTCGAGCTGAGGATTGGCATCATTTGGAAGGTTGACATGTCATGTGGCTGAAACAATTCTCACCAGTTACAGGCTTCATGGCAAAACACCAGGACGTGCTCCTGAATCCATTGGTGCAAGGCCTTCTAGATTGGCGAACCCCACATGACACTCTCGGATTCCAAATGCGCCAGCGCTTCCGAGAAGATCTGAGGCAAACCTACATTTGTCCAGAGTCCGTGGAGGAGAAGGAAGGCTACAAGTACTCCACCAGCGGATTGTACTATGCTCCTGGTGCAGAGACGATTGAGGAATTCATCACCTACATCAAAGGCAGGAAAGAGCAGAGTTTGCTGATGACTTTAAGGGTAGCATGCTTACCCAATGAGAAGCCGTGGGCCTTATGTGAACCTTGTTCCTGGATTGGAACAAGTGGACACAAGTTGACGTACATTACATTGTATCAGGACAGCCAAGTTCAACATCCAGGTGAATTTTAGTCACTAGTGTTGGACCATTCTTTGTGACATGGAACCAGGGCAGCCACCGACACAGGACAGCTGAGCTGTGCCGTCCCGTCCCACGTCACGTCCTGCCGCGTAACGGCGTGACCACTCCGCATCCAGGCTTGCCGCTCTACCCCATGCCAGAGGCCTTCGGCTTGCACGAGAACTGCAACATCACCTGTGCCCAGGATGAAGCCTTGAAGCTCCTCACGGGCATGCAGAGCATGGCAGCTCGGAGAGCATGGCAGGGCTGTGTGCTGTGTGCTTGAACACCTATAAAAACTGGAGTATGGGTCACCTCCAAAGACCGAACCCCAGAACTCTCCTACCGGGGCCCAAATGCGGCCCCCTTTGGGGCCCAAGTGCATCGCCATTGGTGGAGCTTGTTTTACCCTTTGAGGCCTGGCAAATGCGTTGCATGTTCCAAATGCGCTTCCCCGCAGCTGCTAGGTCTCGTTGAATGCTGGCGGTGGAGAGGGTGGTTCTGCCGACACGGCCCCTCCGCACTGGATGGGAGGATGGATGCTTTGCTTGGGTCGCCACATGTGCCAGAGCACTCCCTCTCATTTTGAGGGGCTAGGTTGGTTGCTTCCGATGCTCAAGCAAGCAGTCGTGAGACACAGAGATAGGGGGCTGTGCTAGACGTTGAATTGTGTCTCATATGGGTCACCTACGTTCGTCTCATAGGTCACTCGTTCGACCAGAGTGGCCCTGACAGCAGAGAGTTCGGTCTTTGCTGTCTTCAGACATGGAGCCAGCAATTTCGTTCATGAAGGCCCATTCTCAGCGAAGCTCCAGGTGTTTGAGACTGCCTCAAAATTTAATTTCAGCCACCCTCAGACATGTTATGTTCAGCTTGATGGAACAAGACCAGGATATTCACGGACTCAGGATGGGTATTCATGTGGAGGTATAATGTGCCAACCTTGATTTTAGTGACTGATCTCCCAGTTGCAACCTCTTGACTATCTCAGGTCATGGATGACACTGCTGCATCCATCCAAGAGACTCGGTAAAAACTCTTGGATTGGAGATCGCATGGGTTGGGTGTGCGAAGGGGACAATGGATGAGCATGGGTCATCATTTTGTATTTGGAGTCGAGTTCTATTTATATTGCTCCTGGCATGTGTATGTTTTCATATACATGTTTTTACTTGTTACAATGTTGTTGCCGTTGAATATCTCAGGGTTGGGCGATAGAAGCATCGCGGTTTTCACGGTAACACAGCGACATCGTGTTCCAGTCTTGCGGATTGAACCGACACAGCCGAACCGGTTGGAAGAAGAACGAGAATCCACGTCCATTGGGGTCTCAGGGTCGCTGTGTGGGGTGCCAGGTGTCTCATTTTGGCCGTTCCGAAGGCCGTTCCCATGAATCTCACCAAACAATGTCCAGTTGGTTGTCCACTCACGTGTTTTCAGCGGGCTGTTGTAACTGGCAAGAATTTCCTTAGCCTTGTGATCACCAGTTTCTAGCAGGCGGTGATTGTCCCGGTGGTGATTCCCGGTTGTCCCCTAATCATGCAAGTGGAAAACGACCTGTTGCTAGAGGACAATGGTCATTCAAGGGGCCATGTTCCACTTCCATGATTATTCCAGGAAGTGTGCTTTGAGATCGCTTTTTGCCAGGAGCGCTTGCCAACGCCCTTCCCCTTGGACGTGTGCGAAACCAAGTTCCCCACCAGGCAGGTAGTATGGGCAGTGGAAGTCAAGACGTTGAAGTCTCCAGTCTTTCGAAGCCTTGATTTTGTCCTGCAGGGAGTGGAGCAAACATTGTTTGCTTTAGGTCAGTTTGGAAGATGTACATTGGTTAGACAACGATGTCGCAGATTGGGTCTACTGTCAGATGTTTGTTCCTTATCACCTGGACTTGACAGTGACAAGATCAGGATCCGAAATCTGGTTAATCCGGTTGTGTTGAAATCCAAATCGACTGCCATCTCAGCCTTACACCAGTCAGAAGTTCCTCAAACCGACCACAGCCAGCCTCTGAAGAGGTACGAGGAATCGATGAACACGGTGGTGAAACAAGAGTGCTTGCGCTACAACAAGCTCCTGTGGTCCATGGCCAGCTCGTTGAAAGACTTCAGGAAGGCCATCAAAGGCCCGGAATCCTCCGAGGTTTCAGCTCTGGCCCTCTTGCAGATGACTTCTTATGCATATATACTGCCAGTACATGCCAGTACAATTATAGTTATGCATTTTCATGCCTAATTACGCATCGTTTTTGGCAGGATTGTGTGGGGAATGTAGATGACACACAACAACTCTTTGCTCAGAGCATCAGGCCCACCGGTTCGGACTCCACCGGCGCAGACCGCCCTGCCAACGCATCGCCGAAATCATCCACTACCATCTCCCCCATCCAAAAGCAAACCCAGAAAGTGGCCCACATGAATCGTCCTGGAACCTGAAAATGGACCTTTGGAAGTTTGGAAGACTAGCTGGCTTCACAAACCAGTTTTCAGGTTCCATGTGGGCCTCTTCCAGGGCATACCAGTTCTGTTCGCTTGCAGAGAGGTCTCATCGTGATGACTGCAGAGCTGGAGGCAGCTGGAAAATCGCTCTTCGTCAACGAAGTCCCGGAGATGTGCCTCGCCCGACTCACGCAGGTTGCGGATGCTATCCGCCATTCACATGGTGATGCTATCTGCCAGGGGGAGGGGGTTTCTTTCGGCTGGAGGCCTTGGAGTTGTGTGGAGGGCGGGAAGTCAGAAGTTGCCATGGGGGATCAATAGACGTTGCCGGTTCTGCTTTGGACATCATACCCACGATGCGCTGAAGACACCGCTGGAATTCCGTTCATGATGTTCGTGGGCGTGAGGGACCGGGCAGGTCCTCTTTAGAGACAGCCACTCCCACAAAGCGCTTGCCCAGGTGGTCGAAGAAGGGACCGCTGTCCTTGAAGCCGCTGAGTAGTTGGTATTTGGACATCCTTGCTCGCGTGAGGTGCTCTTTGGGATGATCGGAGGGCTGCCCTCGGGGTGGAAGAAGATGACTGAGCACTCAGCTGATCTCAGCACTTGCTCAGAGTCATTTGTTTGGTATAGTGATCCCGGTCCCCACATAGATAGAGACGGTTTCCAATACATGTTTAGTGGGGATCTACTACTTTTCTATTTATTTTGGGGTCAATACATGTTTCGGCAAAGCACCCAAAGAGGTGGCAATAGTTTCGCTGGATTGCGCCAGCAGTTCTTTAAATATAAGCAATATCGATCTGTGCTACTTCTGAACAAGACAAAACGTTGTTTGGGGGCTGCCAGCATGCTTCCGAAATTATGTGACACGATGTGAACAAATCAAACACCCCTTTTCTGAGCAGCGGAGATGATATAGGATGTGTTGATATATTTTGTATGCTTGCCTCTTCAGATGCGGAACTAAGCCGTGCATTCATCAGCTACACACATCTACACACGATGAATTTTGACCGACACGTTGTGTGAAAGACACTTGGTCCGCTCAATCCTGTGGATGAAACCTGCAGGTTCTTCCAGATGTGGTTTGACTTGGGCCATGCGCCTCCATGCTTTTGGGTCAGTGGCCTGGTCAAGCTTGAGACTTTGGGAGGTGGGGAAGGTGGGCTACATTGACTGCTGGTTGGTTGGCTGATGTGTTGCTTGGTTGGGTGGTGGTTGCTAACCGTTCAGCAGGTGCTGTCGCCGCTGCTGTTGTTTGTGTCGATGGGTCGTGTTCTATGTCCTTCTTTTGCTACGCTGCTACACATCGGGCACATGCAGGGCTGAAGGCTTGATAGGCGCTGCCAAAGGGCACTAGACCAAACCTACTTGTGTTTGACAAAGAATGACTTGTTGCTGTTTTGGCCTCACTTCTCCACCATGAGGCTAAGCAAAATATGCCAAAGTATGCCGAGTGGCTGGGGAAACTGTTTGCAACACCCACACAATAGTCACTAGTGCTTGTCACAAGCAAGCGCAGATTGTCCAATACATTTGCCTTCAGGGTATTCAGCATGCTGCTGGTAGGAAGTCCAGCCGGATGCCGCCCGCAGGCTCCCAAGTAACTTCAGAGTTATATATGATATATGATGTTATATATAATTATAGAACCCATTGTATAGATATATTATATATATTATACAGTAAGTCTGTTCCACACACCCAGACGTTCACAGTTCACAAGCCTCCAAATTCCTTTGGTGTCACTTGTGCATGCAAATGTTCGTCAATTTTCCAGGGGATCAGTGGGTGATTCAGCTGGCCAACCGTTGCGGCCAACCCGTTCTGTGGCTACCTAAGGTATCCTGATTGGGTTTCAGGGCTTTGATGTGATACTTCCCCCTGATGATGCAATACTCCCCCATGATGAAGCTCACAGAGTTTGCCGAATGAGTGTCAAAACGGGCCAGTTTCAAAGAGTTTGGGCTGTCCATGGAGGGGACACCTAGCTGCCCTTTAAGATCTTTAAGTTTTGGAGATTTTTGGAGTAGAGATTTTCCAGATTCCACTCACAAAAGGTTCAGGACGATCGATGTACCGTATCAGGTTGATTCGACCCAAGCAAGCCGAGGTGGCATCTTCTTTCCCCAGGCCTTCTTCACTGGAGCAATGCAGAACTTCGCACGGATCCTCGCTTCAAGTTAGACATCTCTCTGCTTGGGCGAAGCGCGCGGTTTCGCGGTACGCAGCGACCCAGGGCCCAAGGTATTTGGGATGATTGCCTGATGACGCCAGTTCTGTGAGGGCCCATCAAAACAACACCTCAACAACTTTCCAGTCAACTTACCCTGGTGTCGTATGCCATACATTGACCACAACCGATAGCAGCCGATAGCATACGTAGTGCAGAGGTCGCAGAGGTTTCTTTTTTTCTTTGTGCCTTTGGCTGGCTGAAGGCTGTCAAACCTGAAGAGGAAAAAACAACAAAAACACGTCCCTGCAGGGATCCAGTCGTACCTCCTCAAGTTCGGTACGACTGCAGAGGGTGCTGACTGTCACGCATCCAGTCCGCCAAGTCCCGGGGCTTTTCAGAGTAATTAGAGAGATTGATCATGTTTTAGCCGACTTTCTCATCAACCAGGAAGGACATTTCCTCACAACTGCCCATGGGTATACACCGAGCCGTCCCTGACACATTGGCAGCAGTTCAGGCAATTCCTAAGGAAGTGGCCACCAGCAGTGTCTTTGAAGCTATCAATGAAGTTGGGTGCTCCAATTTCCTGGCAGTTTATTGTTTGGTACCTTCCGGAAATCTGGTTCGTGGGGGAGCTAGGGAGGAAGCCGCACTTGGCACACTATGGGGCCACCCAGCCAGATCTTCTGCTGGGCGCCGGCAGTCCCCTCCCAGAAGGTTGCCCGCATGTTTTTGGCATGTTCGCAAAGGTCATGGTTCAACAACATGAATCAGAACAATCGGACGATCTTTGAAGCAAAAGGTTAATATTAAGGGGCTGTGGTCCACTTGGATGTTCAAGTCTTTGCATATTTGATACAGAGTTGAAACGTGTTGAACCTTATAGATGCCCCACTATGGTCTTCTCCTTTTGGACCCTGGTAGCTTGACCATAGTTTGGTAATTTGGACCCTTTGTCAACCATTGGTCCCCCTCCTCTCGAGCCCGACGAAGTTCCATGGGCAGGAAGTATGGTGAGGAGATCGACCTGCTCTCCTTCAGCCAAAGGAGCGAACGGGCGATCGAGTGACTGGGTCCCCTCGCAGCGCAGCTGGAGGGTACTTTCTCATGCCCTGTTCACTAATTATTTTGCAGCATATCAACGTGGTACGAGTAACCACGAAAGCATGGTTTTGTCATCTAAGTGGGGAGGTTTCTTGGGACAAAGGCCGGCTGACATCGCAGCCAGCCTTTGGCTTTGTGTTGGGAACAGGGCACTTGGTGTGGAACATCCACTTCCCTCTTCGCCCTCATCCGCCCTCAGGACCATGGACCAGATCACGGATGCACCAGCACAGCTGACGTCCCCTCCCGATGACGGGGTCTACGTCTATGGCATTTTCTTGGAAGGCGCCCGCTTTGACTGCACCACGCATCAACTGGAGGACGGGGTATGTTTCGCTCAACAAGAGTCGAGGGGTGTTTCCCGGGTCTGCCAGCTCGGATCGGCGTGCAGAGAGCCATGCAGGAGGTTGCCCTAGGGATAGATTCCCTAGGGATCCAGTCGTACCTGCTCAGACAAATACAGCTGGACCCTCCAAAACTACAGTGTCTCCTTCCTCACCGTACCTCAGAGGGTGCCAGTGGATGCCTAAGGCCTCTGTGGGGGTTCTTTGAAAACAAGCTTTTCTCAGGAGGTGATGGGGAGGTTCCATTGACTCGCCCTGACAAGGTCCATGGATGTCCCTTCTTGTCACCAAGGCCCTTTCTACCTATACTTTCAAGGCGTGGCGAGACTCTTTTGTGAGTTGCAACAATAGGGTGACGTTGGGGAGTGAGGATTCTTGGTTTCGGCCACAAAAACCTTCACCTGCTCCCAGTGATGTGGAGGTTCTCTCCGAAGAATGGGGGGGGGGTGATCCCTGGAGTTCCCGTGCGCCCGGTTTTTCCCGACTCGTCGTTGTGTTTGGGAGTCCAAACGCAGCCAGCACAGCAACCAAGCACCTCAGCCGCACCAGAAGGGCCACACCTGTTCCTTGCTTTTCTCCTGACGCCACTGCACCTGTTCAACTCGCGAAGGACTCCAGGCCGAAGGAGCTCTTTACCGATATGCCACCTTTGCAGTTCTTACCCATCAGGAATCGGGTGCCCAACGCCACGGACTATCGCTGTCCCTTGACCGTCGGCTTACGTGACCGTCGGCTTGACATGGTCACCCATCTCCCGTGAACGGGAGAGGTCACCAATTCGGCGGAGAAATTCGGATTGGACTAAGTGTCAGAAAGGGACAGCAGGTCCCGGCAGTATAGTCGGCAGTATACATCTCAGACATTCCATGTATTATGCCATGTATGCCTGCATTGACCACCCCAATGTAGGTAAATATGACATACATGGAGCGTTTGGGCATTACATGGAATAGCAGCATCTGTGGTCGCGTCCTCGATTTAACCAAGGGGTCGGGATTACATGGTTTTCAGAATCCGACACGAGCGCCGCCGAAGTGGCCACACTCAATCTGAACAAAATCTGGGGGTGGAGTGCCAATTAGCTGGGATCCTCTTGGCATAGGTCACTCAGGGCAAGTGTGAACTGGTCGATCAATGGGTACATCGCTTCATGTCCAGCTCGCCGCGTCTTCCGCCGCCGCGAGCAGCCGCCGGAAGCGCCCGGGACCCAGGTCCTTGCTACAAAGTGGTGTCACGAGCCTTGGTCCAAGACGTCAGGATCTTCACACAAATCACCAGCCTGGGAGAAGAAGACCAGCACCACGTGCACATGTTTTTGCTTGGGAGTCTCGTGCACCACCAAGGAAACATAAGGAAACGCTTGGAGGATGCCCACGTTGAGATAATTGCAAACCAAAGTCTGTTCGGAGGGGTCATCTGGACGCTTAACCAACTGGGGCTGGTTTGGAGCTACGTTCTTTGCTTTTTCGCTCCCATCGATATTTTTTTCAAGGAACGACGCTTTTTCCGAACTTGTTTTTGTGTAAAGAAACTGAAGTGAGCGTTAAGACAATCATGAACCAGTGCATGTTTGTGGTGGCTTTTTATGTACTGTAGAACTCAAACGGCAGGGCAGGGCCCCTTCCGTTTGAACTCTCCACCCCTGCCGCACCACCCGAGATGCTCGTTTGCGCTCGCGTTCCCAGGAAAGGGCACCCTCCTCACCACGGGTCACTCAACCAACTTTGTGCTCTACATTGAGGCGTGTTTCGCGCTTCGCGAGCTCGTGAAGACGCTGGGGATCGACGCGAACGCAGAAAAAATGCGACAAACCGGAGTGGTGAAGTGATAAAATTACACAGTTCCATGAAGGACACCCTCAACAAGACGTTGACCGTTGACTGAGCACTCACAGCTTTCTGCGCTCCAAGAACCTACACAGACTAGCATCAGAGCGTGCCGGCACGTTCGCGCAGATTGCGCAGCCGAATAGGTGACGACCTTTCTGACCAGGTGACGACCGACAAGGTCGTGGACAAGTGGATCAAAGCCGGTGTCGCCGCCTTCCTGGCACTCAAGTACTAACGCAAACAAACGCCCGCGTAACGCCCGCCTGAGTATCCAGTGTTTGGGCGTTCTGTGTCACCCGGAAGCCTGGCAGTGAATCGAAAGTAGACGGAACGAAAAGATAGTTCAACCAAGAACATATTTAAGGCTGCACCATTAGAAAAATGAGAGGTTCATCGGAAACCCTGGATCCAACTTGTTCTGTACTTTGCGATGCTTTGCAGCATCGGCCTCGCTCCACCTGATGGCTTTCAGGAGCCATACAGGCGCCATACGGGCAGCGGTGCCGCTTCCGGCTTAGTCGACCGAGTTTCACGGCAGTGGGTCATGGGACCGGGACGCTCAGATGAGCCAGCAGGTGAAGAATCTAGTACCTAAGCTAATTGGGAACCGTTGGGAACCAGGTGAACCAGGTGAGCAACCAATCTATTTTGGGGTGTTCAGAGTACCTAACCTTTGACCTGCAGCCACGTGTTTCACCATGCGAGCCAGCAAGAAAAAGAAACACAAGAGGAGCCAGAGACTGAGGATGCCAGAGGTGGCAGCTAGGTGGGCAAATGCTCCAAGAGCCTTAAAGAAGAATGTCTTTGTTTGGTGGTTGAAAGCTGAATTAGGAACAGAGGTTGATCACAACACGCATGCCGTTTCGGAGCAGACCGGGGGCCTGCAGCCGACCCGGCAGGAACCGACCCGCTCGTTTGCGGGCGTTTTTCGAGGACGGAGGGCAGAGCCACGACCCATGGACTTTGCAGAAGCCACCTGCAGTTTTTGGTCAATCTCCTCCAAGTCAATGACCTCGTTTAACTTGCACTTCGCACTTGCAGGGTACTCTGTCAATCTCTGGTGAGAGGAGGGGCCAAGAGTGGAAATCACCATGTTGTATGAGAAGCATGTTTCGAGAAATATTGGCATCCAACGCATCTTTAGAAAGCAAGATGCCATTTACATGCACAAAGTTCAAAAGCGACGTTCCTTTCAACCGGTCACAAGCTGTGCCTCGTTTGCATCACTTCTTTTTGAACGTGTTCAAACCGTGTGCGATGCATATTTCCTCGGCTGGTATTGTTTGTGCCCCCAACCTTAGAGATTTTTCACAGGGAATCTTAATCACGAAAGCTAGCACCAGCTAGCTGGAGTTGTCCTTGCTTTAGCAAGTGAGGGGCTCAAGTATAACACATGACAGGACATGTGTTGTACTGAACAATTCGACCAGGTTCTTCGGAGCTTCGTGTCCAACTACCTACCTTGTACTGAACAATGGTTAACGTTCAATGGTTCATGCACACCGGAGAGGCCCGTCCCAAGCCCCTTGGATGGATGGCGAGTCCATGACCTTCTGCAAGCTATCCATTTCGGAGGTTGATGGATGTTTGGCTGGAGTGAGAAATATTAAATGAGATATATTCAATGATTTTGATGGATCATATTGGATCAAATTGGATCATGTTGCTGGAGCAATTGCAGCTTCTTTACGTGTTGCACGCTTTGCATAACTGATAGGTGGCAACCATGCTACTAATGTACTTGTCATGGAAACTGACAACATCAGAAACAAAAACACTGAGAACAGCTTTGCGAATCCTGTTTATAGTTATGAAAGCGGGCTCGGCAAAACCTTGCTTGCGACTCATGTAACTTGTAGCTCAAAGCCCCGCCCTCAGCACTGCAACCAACCGGCCAGCCAGCCAGTCAACCAGCTAACCAACCAGTCAACCAAACAACCACTGAACCAACTAACCAACCAACCAACAAACCAACCAGCTAGCCACCCAACCAGCCAACCAGTCGACCAAACAACCAAACAACCAAGCACCCAACCTACCAAACCAACAAGCAAGACAAAGCCATGAAGAGGAAGCTCTTTGAGACCCCGCCGGAGGAGCATTTAGCGTGGGCCGCTCGGTTGGTTTTCTTTGTGAGTGAAACGTGGTGAAACTCTGGGTGAGTGTGGGTGAATCATGGTATCCGCATGTACCCGCATTTCGTCATACCATACCCGTACGCTGGCAGGGCAGCCCGGGTTGCGTCGTGTGCTTCAGTGACGCAAGATCGAGCCTCCCAAAGCAGATAGTAGATTGACCTTCCTGGAGGCCCACGGTGAAACCACAGTCCCATAGTTTGGACCCGCCTGGTGTCAGGACACCAAAGTATCTCCAAACGACAGGAATGTCTTTGTCGTTCATATATAGGTACATTAGGTGCCCAGAATTTTCCCATTGGAGACCAAAGATCCTTCCATTGCCCGGGATCAATTTGCCCTTCAACGTCATTCAAACTGTTACGTTCTTCCCAAGATAGGTTGGAAGTTGAAAAGGTGAGTTCACGGACATTGGTCTACACTACACATCAAGAGGGCCTGCCCCGGGTCATCCCAGGTCCTTCTTTCAATCCATGGCATTTACCAGCGGATGATGTGATGGCTTGTGATGTTTTGCGGGCTTCGCTGCGGGCATGCGCCCGTTCACATTCCGACTCAGGAAGTGGAAAAGGCTTTGGTTTTAGTTTTACCCGAAGGATCCTTGGACCGTCCTTAGGGGTCGAACCCTCTAGTTCACAAGGGTTTGGCGCCCGTCAAAAACCCTGGTTTTTGAGGCTGCGAATCCTTAGGGTAGCAATCTTCCCAGCGCGGTTGTTCTACTTCCCCTCCGCCGGATCAAAGAAGTCATGGGATATGACAGCTACGTAGAGTTACTGAGCTGCGCGTGACCTGATGTGCAAGAAAGGACCCCAGTCCGACTCCTAGTGAGAGTCAAACTAAAAAGTTACAGCTAGTACATATAAACAGGCTATTCCTTTTCGTTTATTTCATTCACATTGAATTGCTGAGTCCTACAGTCCTACATTTAGTTTTTCACATTTCACGCATACGCACATATACATTCTGGTTAATGATTTACACATACATGTGAGCTACGGTCGACACATACAAAGACCACTATGTAAAGAGGGGTAGGTTTGACCGTCCCTCATGTGCCGTGCGACACAGGGTCACCCGTGTCGATCGCAACTGCCGCGGTGGAGGGGCTCCGGCCGAGGTGGACAGCAGCACGAGCGGAGGGACTCCAGGAGACTGCTGGCTTCGCTGCTTGCTGTGCCAGAGGTGGGTTCAAGACAAAGCATCCCACTCTGATGGACCCGAAGCTTCGAAGCTTCACAAGACCCTTGGAATGCGACCCATCCGGTGCCGCTGGAAGAGTGGGAGACTGCTTTTTTTTGTCGTTTTTGGTTGTTCTCTCTCTCTCTCTCTCTCTCTCTTTCTCTTCAGTATTCTTCAGGGGGGGCCTGAATGATCTCGAGATATTGGTCTTTAGATGTTTTTGTGAACAGGGTGACTGGACTCGGGTCCTAATACTTCAAACCTGATTGGGATCGACAGGCTTCTCGTTGCACCAAGGAAGTACATGAAGTGCTGGGAGAAGTATCGCGGCCAAGTCCGGGAGGAGAAAAAGAAACATCACCCAGAGATTGAGCTAGAAGTGTGGCGCCCCAGCGGGATTGCTGTGCTGGTGTGGTCGACGCATCGCAAGTCATCAACTTGCGTCTTCAAATGGCAAAAATGCAATCAGATGACCGGCTTCTACCTGCCACAAGACAGAAGTGCAGGTTCCGTAGATTGTGTGGTAAGGGGGCCATTGGCAAGTGTTCAACAATTTTTGTGTGCTGGTATGTCTCTGTTACACATGCCCAAAGATGCAAACAGAACAAGCGGCCAGCGAGGTTTTAAAACTGACTGGAAGCAAAGCTTGCCTGACAAAAAAACAAAACAATCACAGAAAGCAGTCTGCGTTTTCATGAAAGCAACTCTTGGTGTGTCAAGTGCATAATGTATACCCTGAACCCGGGATGTGCCTCTTTCGATCAAAAGGTTGTCTTTCAGACCTCTTCCATTATCCACATATCAAAGTACGGCCTTTTGTTCAAAGTACGGCCTTTTGTTTTTTGGAGGTTTTCAGGGTAGAACTCCACATCCATGGTCCCACCCTGACACTTGCCCATCTTTCCCCTTTCAAGCTAGATCTGAGCTCCATGCCGACCAATTTCGCAGTGATCTTGACAGAAACAACAGAAAGATATGTCATAAGCAATGCTGAGTGGCATTGAGTGGTATGAAAACCATTAAGTTATTTCAAACACTGTGTCAAAGTCACAGATCTGCATAAGAATCCATGCCTCGCTGGTCATTGCCAGCTTGCTGCAGAGAATACTGAATCTTTATCATGGATCTCCAAATTACACTTCTATGTGCTTGGCGAATGTTTGTAAAACGCGATATCTTGGAAGGCTTCCCAATGAAATCTTCCTCCTGCTGGCATGCTGTGCTTAAAGGTGACAGCTGCCATTCACATCTTTCTGCACGACGGGCCAAGTCTACAGCTGCATGACAAAGCATGTGGTTCTTTGGGTACATGGGGTACCGAGCTTTGCCAGCATTCAAAGTCAACTGCGCCAACAAAGAGTAGTGCCCCAAAAAGGAGAAAATCCAATCTGACAGTCTGCGGGCTGATGTACTCTGCAACCAAAGGCCACTTTTGTACATGAACGTCACCGCAATGTTGATAGCTTTTGCGGCAGCAGCCTGAGCAGCAAACAAGTGATGGGTGAATGATTCAAAAGCCATGTTAATCATAGAGAGTGGTACAACATCGCTACAAAAACCTTTGGAGACAAAAAACTGACATGTGAAAGAACCAAAGGGTGCAACCCAAGGACAATTGACTTCATCACAGGGTCCGTAGATCCAACCAAGAAGTTCTGAGCAAACCAGTCAATGAATCGCATGATCTCAACTGTTGCCATGCCCTTGTTCCATTTGGCAGCTGGGCATGTTGATGACATTGGCCAGCATACCAAATCCCTGCTCAACTCTGTAACCCATGGCTTCTTTCCCCGAGCTTGAAAAAAATTCTTGTACAAAGAAGAAAGGTGCTCAAATTTCTTGTCCACGGATGACAGGTTCTGGAAACATGGTAGCGGAGGGTTTGCCTCAACCAAACTCACCAGTGCAGAGGATGTGAAACTCTTCAGCACACCTAAGTGGACATTGTGGAAGAAATCGCTTTGGAAGAAGTCCGTCGCCCTTCTATCATCCAAACCCAGCCCCTCCAAAATTGGTGGTGTTTGCTGCCATGGCAACACCTGTCCAATGGTGGCTTCCCAAACTGGTTGTTTGCTAACATCTTCAAATGGAATTGCTCGAAGGTGGTTGCGGTCGTCCCGTTCTTGTCCTGCTAGGCATCTCCAACACACACCTTGACATGCCTTTCGGCTGGAAGCAGCCCTTGGCGTATGCGCAAATGTGCGCGTGAATCGCGCCAGCTTTGCAAGGGCCGGCAAGTCCCCCTTCGACCCCAGATGAATGAACCAAATCCGTTCCTGGTCATGCTGGAGTCCATCATGCAACAATGCCTTGACATCCAACGCGAAAGAACTCACCAGGTTTGACAAAGCCTCTGGAGTTGCAACACTCTTGCTCATGGTGGCAATCAAAAAATGAGTTGACCAAGTGTTGCCAATGTAGTTAAGACCTTGAGGGTTTTGGGAAACTGGATCTCGATGGTGACCTTCTCGAAGGTAGGCCAGTGTTCCTCGACCTATGACCCCATGGATGTTTAACACCCATAGGGCAGCATCCCGGAATGACCGCCCCTCATCCGAGTGTGAGTAAAACGGCACGAGCCGGTCCAGCGACAGAACCCCGTTCCTCTCCAGCTCGAACACTGGATGCCCCGCATCCATTGTTTTGTATCTTCTCCAAAATTCTGTGAGTACTCCTTTCATCTTTGACAAAGATGAAACTCCCACCATCTGGCGGGCCAAAGCTCCGATTCGCAACAGATGCGCAAACCAGTTTGATGGCTTGACCCATGGAAAACTCTTCATATTTCTTGTCTCACCCAAATCACATTTTGAAATGGGGACTGGCGCAGAGAATCCCCACTTCACCAAAACCTTTCGAACACCAACCTCGGCATCCTCCTCTCTAATGCATGCAAACTCTCGCATCGCTTGGCTACTTGCAGGGTTGTTGTCAACCTCGTGCTTGGCAATCTGCACGACATGCTTGCAACAGGCCTAGGCGTGCAAGAAGGCAGAAAAAGAAGGATCAAAGTTAACAGGGACACTGCAAAATGCAAATTGAATTGACTGGTTGAGACTGAAATGAATAAAGCCATGCCCTCATTCCAACAGTATTTTTGTGGATAGAACTGTTTTGAAGAGCAGCAAGCTCAAGAACAAGTCTTGTGCACTCACACACACATGCATATATAAGCACAGCTGTTGTCACTCAGCATTGTTGTTTTTTACCCTCCAATCCTGCGAAATTGGTCGGCGCGGCCCCCTGTGACATAACAGAAATATGGAGGTGGTGTTTTCCCCTTTCTATTTAAAGCACCTTCACCCCCAGAACCTTCTTTGTTCCTGCATCCCACATGCTTGTTGAACTCGCTGACTAAGGCAGCTTCCAGCATGTGAATTAGATCCAAGGATCCAGACATGGCAATGAGCCACATACAAGAAAATCCCTGGTCAAGGTATGAAAGATATCTTTTCACCGGGTTGCATGTCACCCCCACTTTGAACACGCAGACTCTGAGTCCCATGCGTTCCCGGAATGATGAAACCTGCTCTTTACACCAAGACAAGATCCGCCCACACGTGGGCGGACCTGCTCGTGGCTCCGGCATGCAATGGTTCAAAAGGCCAAATGGCCGAGTGAGACTCCAATCAAACGTAGAGGCATCAAAGTTGTCGCCAAGCTTTCTGAGATTGTCACGATTCTCCTTGGCTGAGGCCGGCTAGAAAGTTTTAGGGAGAACAAAAAACAATCTCACACCATTTTGGCAGCTTCATATAAATTCCAAAGCATTGTTTCCTCATGTTTGCATACGTTGCCATGAGCCAAGTGGCTGCATTGATGGTTCTCTGCAAGTGCTCAGGACAGTTTGCACAGTTCACGTGAGCTGGTGGTGGTTCACAGGGCTCACCTGACAAACCTCTGTTGAAATACTCACTGAACATAGTTTCATCGTAGCCATCCGGTGAGGTCTGCAAATCCACTTTGTCATAATTATCGGGAGTGGATCCAATCTTGATCTTCCTAAGTTGAATGGATGAGTGAAAAAAAACATATTTTTGACATCCCCTTTACCAAGGGCAAAGTGCAAGCTCACTGAACATGGTTGCCTAGTCTTATTTTGGAGCTACCAAGGCACTTTGTAGACGACTGCTGATCCACAGACTCATAGCACCCAGGAATTCGCTTCTTCCCAGTGTAGGGGCATTCGTATGCCAGAAGGTCCATAAGTTCATCCATATCCGCATCCATGGCTGGTGGATTGTACAAGTTTTTTGAAAAGACATGTATTGTTTCCATGTTTTTTGTTGCTGTTTCGTTGATTGATGTTTTTGGTACATAGGTACTGCGCATGATCATAGTACATGTTATTGTACCGGGCCGAAAACCTTAAGAGGAAGGTGGTCCAAACCACTGCCATGCCAGTTGCAGGACCCGTTCAACAAGGCCCTGGCTCCATCAGCGATGAGCTTTGCAAAGCCCTCAAGCACCTTGTCGGTATCGTTGGGACCTGGCAGGAATAGGGCTGAGTAAGGGCAGATGACCACAATTGGAGAAATGGGTACAGTAAAGGGGCGTTCTTTTTAAACCTCCGTTTGGTACTTTGATATTTGGCGCTGATCCACGATTCTTAGATCTGGATCATCGCAGCATCCCGGACAGCTTGTTTAAGCCTGAAATGGTTTCAACTGGCTGGCTAGGCCTCTAGGCAGCAAGCTAGCTAGGAGATGTTTGCAATCGATCTGTAACGTGTCAAATATAATCAAATATATTTTGATATCGATACCATGGGGTTTTGAATTTGGTGGTGTTCATTGGGTCATGCCTGCATTGTTCCCCAACCACTAGCGGCTGCAGCCAACCCCAAGGGAATGATCACTCAACTGTGCCACATGTTCTGCACGTGGCCAACCCAATCAAAACTAGCTCCTGGACTTTGCCACCAAACCCACGGACTGACCAGGGCTCAAGGTCACAGGACCTCACGATTCATTCATCTTCCTCAGCACCTTCAGAAGATTCCTGGGAGTTTGGGCCATGCGACGCATCTCAATCTTGAAAACACAACTGTCTCAAAGGAAACATGTGGATCAATCCTTGACAAGGATTACAGGTGCATGTGCACTATCTTAACTGCATGCAGTATCAATGAATGCATTACATTGTATAGATTTGCCACAATGTAAATGCAGACAAATGTCTTTGCCCCAAGCTCCGTTGTTGTCACCCTTGAGCACCTCAAGAGGTAGGCGCATCGAAAACAAATGCCCACAGTACCACCAAGGTGATCAACAAGTGATATCCCTTTGTACAAGGCACGCTGCAGTCGTGTCACGCGTCTGACCAACGATCTTCTTCAGCAGCCTCGGGCCGTGCTAGCTCTGCCACTTCCCAATGTTCAAAAAGACATGTGTTAACCTGCTTTCAATTGGCCCACTGCGCATTGAGGACAGTGAATCTAATTGTGTGCCACCATGCATGCAGGTAACAATTTGACCATATTTGACCATTTTAATTGGAAGTGGAGGTTTCGTTTTGCCCAAGCTCCACTATAGAGCCAAGAAACGATTGCTTCTCAGACTCCCCTATCTCTTTTGCACGTAGCCCCGCCGCATCCAGCTTGACAAGCTCGCAGGCAGCAAACTGGCCATTGAGGATTTCAATGGCATCCTCCATGGCTTGCACAGACCTGAGCCGGAATCCATCAAGGGAAGTTGGACGTTGTTGGGAGGGATTGGTATGAAACCAGTATTTTCAGTTGGGGGACTTGGCCACACGTTTTCCTTCAGAGCTGTCTTGACCTTTGTCGCCAAGTTCTGACTCAAGTTGCCCAATCAATTCCGATAGCTTAGAGCTGCGGTTCAGCAGGGATTGAGTGAAAGTCCCAAACTTTGCATACTCCTGCGCAAGCCATTGAGAGAACATCAGTTAAGAACATGCTTTTGGACAGTTTTGGACATGTTTCTGTTCCCATTCCAGTGGACAGAAGATCACACGCTAAGTATGGACCAGGGTGTGTGGCAAGACATAGTTTCCCAGTAATGTCACCCCCCCAATCCTTTTCTGCAGTGTTGACCTGCTCGGCCTGTTCCTCCTTCTCATCATCCTCTTCAGACTCAGAGCCCTCCCGGCGTGTGCCAAGCATCTGGAAAGCCAGCTGCTCATTTGCCTCAGGCTGCTGCCGAACAAGGGCGGTGACTTTGATTGAGTCGAGGCTGGTTGCATGTTAATTGGTGCCAGGTAACCTCACCAAACTCCTCTGCCCTGTGAGCCTCTTCGTTTTCGCTAATATCGTCGTCTTCTTCACTATACACCACGTAGTATTTGCGAAGTTTTGGATTGTATCGATCTTTCCTAAGTACACCAACACCAGAACAAAAGTCTTGTTAATTTATCTAACCAGTTCCAATGGATGTTGAGTGGTGCAGAATTGGCTCTACTGTTGTTGGACCACAAGTTGATGGAAGCATTTCACATGACATCCTGAAAACAATGTCCTGTACTGGACCTGCAAGTAAGAATCTTCCAAAGCCTCTCATTGCCCGGCTTTTCGCAAAACTCAACGACACACTTGATGTAGGACCTGACCGCTTGAATCACTCTCACCCATGCCAGGAGAGGAAGCCAACAAAACAAGTTCATCCAGGCAGGGTGCAGGGACGCTGCCATGGCAGCCGTGACCAAATCAGAAGAGTTAGCTAAGAAAGGGACGCGCTCCAGCCCAAAGTATTGGCCATTTGCTCCTTCGTGAACCAACCTCTCTTCTGCTTGCGCTGGAGGGTCTTCTTTTGGGAAATGGTCTTTGTGATCCGGGTCACAAAAAGATCCTGGAAACCCATCAACAATCACAGGTACGGAATGCTGCGCATCATGGAAAAACAGCTTGACATGTTGTTGTATGTTGTTCATGTTGTTCCGTCCTTGCTCCAGTTCACAGCTTCTAGTTCCTCGATCATGGCTTCCTTTTCTGCTTTGGTTGATTTGGCCCATTTTTCATGGATTGCAGGCGGAACATTGCATTTTCCTGAAGGTTTTTTTTCACAAAGTCGCCTCAAACGGTTCAGTTTTGCACCCTCAGTTTCAGGGGGTGGCCTTTCGGCTGGGGGCATTGGATTGCTTTTGGCCTTGGCTTTTGGGGCACTGCTCACAGAGGAAGAACCTGGAGTTCGTGCAGGGGAGGGCGCTGGAATCTTAGGGGGTGGTGTTGCCATGTTTTTCTTCTTCTCGCGTGCCGAGGAAGCACGCAGCTTTTCCATCTCTTCTTGCATTCTTTTGTTGGCCTCCCCAGGTATAAGTACACTGAAAACACACAAAACTGTTAATGCATTGAATGTCAATCACAGTTTGCAAGATGCTACAAGCTTGTTCAAAGTAACATGAGTGGCAGAATTGTTGACCAGCAAGCTGGGGCCTCTAGAAGCTCTTTGATAGTCTGTTGGGGGTCTGCCTGCGTTTGTTTACCATGGACGCGCTTCGGCGGAGCTGGGTTGGGAGATGCTTGGGCAGGCGGCGAAGATGGCGAAGCTGGTCCCTTTCGCTTGCCCTGTGCAGGCGCGGCTGCTTTGGTTTTGGCTGCTGCTGCTTGCTTTGGTTTTGGTGCTGGCTTTGGGGCAGCTTTTGTCGCAGCCCGTGGCCGTGTCCTACCCTTGGCCATCTTGTTCAGTTCCTCTTCAGTTGCCTTGTCACAACCATATGTGTTGAATTCAAAAGCAGTCTTTTGTGATCAATTGCTAATTGCAAACACCTCAATGGCATGTTGCAAGGGGTGCAATCCCAAGTTGCTGGTTGAGTCTCATCATCATGTGGAGAGCTACCACCGGCAGCAGCATCACCTGGCTTATTCGCAAAAGCTGCCTCAGATCGCCAGCACACTGGATGGTTAAGGTGTTTTTGTGGTTTGATGGATGGCAAAAGCAGTGGTGAATGGATGGATGACATCATAATTTTCCCAGGGGCAATTGAGTAGATAACAAAACCCAGTTGCATGCTATGATCCAAGAAACCACTTTCGATGCCATTTCTTTCATCTTTTGCAACTGCATCTCATAGTCCTGCAGGTCTGGTGTGCCCAAAGTATGGAAAAAAAACTTGACCGTAAATGTGGTTCCATACAAGTTGCTAAAGATTGGGTTCTCTCCTTGATCTTTGTTTCAAGGTCTTCTTCTGGTTCTCGCTTGACACGTGTTAGCGCCGCATCTCCATCTTTAAGCTCACTACAAGACCACTGTCTAGAAGGAACCTTTCTACCCTTAGGTTCTGCCATTGCCCACTGATGCCAGGCTCAGAGAGCACAACTCGTGAGCCCAAAGCCCTAGCGGATGGATGGATGGCTTGTGTGACGGCAACGGGAGGTTTGGAAGAGGATTTCTAGGGCAATCCGTTAGCAAAATCGATGATTTCCCTTCAAACTCCTCAAAGGATGCTTCAAACAGCTATTTGGCCCACAAATGTCCTCCAGATCTGTCCAAATCCACCAAAACCACCAGTACAGCAGAGTACGGAAAAAGTACGTATTTTAGTACGCATTTATACGGCCTTATACGGGCAAAACACGGCCTTTGTACGGGTTGGATCTGGGGTACGTACCGGGTACGTACTTTGTCCGTACTTAGTATGTATTCCTCAGATTTCCATAAAAAACAATAAAACTGCTTATAATTCCATAGGGTGAGCCCAGCAAAACCAAAAAAAACAGTAACTCTCATAAAGATCAAGTGTGACTACCATTGAACACCCAAAAGCTGTCGAGGGATCTTGGTGGGCTGCAATTGGGCACAGTGACTGCACACAAAACCATTGATAGTATCGATCCACACTGGTGAACTTAGAGGTTGAGCTAGCTTTTTTGTTTAGAGGGAGCTAGTAGTCCAGCAGAGCCTTTGCCTGTGTGGAGGGAGCCCACACGTGAATTCAATAGCAATGGTCGCGATATATATATGCTATATGTTAATAAAGGGTTGACAACCACGTTGAACGAATCATCATGTTGTGGTGCGATGGCCCCCAATACAAAACAATACAACCAAATGGAAGATGTTTTATTATTTGGTGTTTTGTTGGAAGGCCCTTCAGGAAGATAACAATCATACAGTGCAACAAGCCTCAATAACAAAGCTCCCTATATAACTAGCCTCCAGATAGAAGCAGATGCGATAGAAACTCTTACGACACCATGACCAAGCACCTTGTGTTGTCGTAATACTGCAGCTCTGTGAACCACACAGCAGGCACCTGGACTTTTCCAAACGGGTTCATCTCTTAGCTCCTAAGTGTCTCTTGAATTTGACTTGGGAAAACCCACGTCAGATGGCCATCCAAAGGCAGCTTCCAAGTTCAAAGCACTGCCACCAACTAAACATGAGTGGGGAATAGATCCCTCCACTCTCCAAGTTCCAAATCGTTGCTACCGCGGAGGTACAGGAAAACCGATTTCATGTTGGCGCATTCCCACCAGTCCCCCCATTCCAGCTGGCTGAAAAGCTTCAAGCCATCACCAACTGGTTCCGAAAAGGCTGACTTTGGAAGGGCTTCCTTTTTGGAGCAAAAACGTCCATGCAAACGGGCCACTTTCATTCCAAATTTTGGCGGATATGTCCTTAGATGTAACGAATGATCCAAGGAACCAAATGCATAGGAGAATGCAAACTTGCACTGCAATCATATCACAGTTCATATCACAGCCACGAGTTTGCAACACTTATCCCTAACAGTTGTTTGATTAACACTGACATGCAGCTTAGGGTCTGTGTCCCCTTCAAGTATTTGGTTCCATGGTAAGCAGGTTTGCCTTTTTTGTTCGTGTAAGTTCGGGCTGACTTTGCCCCATGACGGAAATGTTTCTGTTGATAAGCCTTGCACATCACACCAAGGTCAAAGCATTTGACAGTTCGACAATTTGACCAAGCGATGTGACGCTTCATCGTCAAGCTCCCATAATGCCCCATCCACCAAAGTGCTTGGTAGACCTGACGATCACATTTTGTGTCTGGTAGGGTTACCTGAAGTTGCTGCAGTATTGTATGTGAGTGCAATATAGCGCAGAGAAAGGATATGTTGCGTTGTTTAGTTGTATGGTGCATATGGTCTATGGAGGACACTTCCAAAGAGCACAAATAGGGGTTTCCAGAATACACCCCTTTTTCTGGTACTCCCCAGGCACCTTGGGTAAAGATCTCCACAATTGGCCGATTCTCGGATGCCAAGGCAATGCCGATGACCTGGGCTGCTCCAAGACCCAGGCTCCGTCCATTGCAGCGACGGCATAGATCAGCAGCACTGTCCTGGGCAAAACCAAGAATGACATCACACTATATGGGATGTCCAACCTAGCATTGGCACCATCATGAAAGGTTTCCCATCTGCAATATGGAATATGTTTCAATAGATGCCACAAAAACCCTGAGACACAGGATCTTTTTTGGGGTGCAATCAGTTAGGAAACAACAGCTGTAGGGCTATCAAAAGAAGTCTCTACTTGGAAATAGTTTCGCCTAGGGTCCGGCTAGCAAGCATATTTCCACAAGCCACCATTGGTACATCTGTTCGTCCCCATGTTGCATGGGGAGTTCGGCAATGAGTTCCAGCTGATATGCTCACAAAGCTTGAGCATATCAGCCCCATCACACACAAGAAGGCCCCCATTTTGCCATTGAATATGGTCATCAGCGCCAGCCTCACATTCCAGGCATACACCAATTGTGTTCATTGTTTGGTTCAACATACATGTAGACAACACATCAATATAGATTCAGCACACATCCCTCTACCATGAGACCAAATACCTCAACATTTTGCGACAAGGAACCCAAACCCAGCATCAGAAAGTAGATCCATTGCATTTTGTTTGTTTGGCTGTGGGTCACCATACAATAGATCCAATGCCGCAGCACTGTTTCCATGAAACTTCATGCAGCGGGTCACCCACGCTTCCCCAGCAAAGAGCTCGATAAAGCTATACTTCTGAGCAGGCAAGGTGGGAACACATCAAGCCCTTGTTGCATTTATATACTCATGCGTGCAACTCCAACTAGCTGGCATGCTAGCTATACTTGACTGCCAGGTTCTGAATCAATCTCATTCAAGGTACCATGCTGAACCCACCCCGGGCCTCCTCAAACATACTCATTTCAGGGTTCAATGCCAGAAGTATTGCGCATGCCATCAGAACCTTCAGTGAGGAAGAGGCGAGAGGAATTATTGTTTTCTGGTATTGCACGCTGTATGCCAATGCAAAACATGCCAACTAATCAATGGAAAAACATTGCAGTAGCGCAGGGCAGTAAGTAGAGTAGAGTATATATAGGATTCCTGCCTTGGGGGCATTCAAATGATGCAATCGATGTAGTATAAGATCGAGCTTTGCTTTCCGGGCTGGTGTCATGGCGAACCACCCACTAACGACACCGATTAATGCTCGGTGCAACCCATGGAACCACAACAGCTCCGTAGGAACATGGCATGTTGAATGGGCAAGGCTTCAATGCTTCACTCCAATGGTCCGCCCATGCACAATGCGGAACACAACTGTGAGAATCAAGAGGCAACATCTCCAACCTGAAAAGCCATGCCAGGACGACCAAGCATCTCCACGATTCTGGGCAGAGGCTCGTCCATCGCACTGCCTGGAAAGCCGGCGGGAAAGGGCAATACAGATTCGGGGGCCTTTCGAAGACGGAGCTGGACGTTCGGTGTAAGGCCTGCAGCTAGACAAACATAAACTATAGATAGAGTAAGCAAACAAGTTGAACTGGTTCATTGATTGTGAAGTGTCAGTCAGCTCCAGGCTTTGGTTTCAAGGTGGCTGTTTTTGTGGCCTGGCCCACTACGAACCTCAAAGCCACATATTTATACATGCCAAGAAATGCAATGTAAGCAGCCACTGGTTGCTGGAAAATGCGAGTTGCCTATGGGGCAGGGTGATCCATAGCCAGATTCAAATTAGAAAAAATAATGCCATGCAAACAGAGCAATTCCACAGATTTCCACCAAAGGGCTATTGGAGGTCCCTTCCTGAAAGCAGGCCAACGTCGTACATTTTTCTGCACATCTCCACAAAGCTAGCAGCAGCGGTTTGCAATGTTTGCGTAGGATCTGAGCCGATCTTGACTATGGAACTGGCTATAACTGGCTGGAATGTGGGTGACCAAAGAGCGTTGATCTAACAAGACTTTTAGATAGATACCATCTCAACTACCCAGGCATCACCAACTTTGAGACTTTTGAACTGATGATAGCCATCACCTAGTTCCTTCCCTCCGGCGACCCTGGAACCGCAGCAAGAGATTGTAGAAGCTAAGTGCTAGAAACATCCCCATATTTGCTAATTTGGGCATCAGAAGCTTTTGGATGCCCATGGCATTTACTACGATCTCTGCCATACCAGACCTTTGCTAAAAGTTGAATCCAACATGAACCACAAGTGCTATAGACATTGGGATGGTATGATGACGCATCAATGCTTTGGCTGGCAGGCGGAGCTACAGATCAGCACCTCCCGTGAGAGTTGCCAGGTACTCAGCGGCTGCTTTTCCGGCCATGTCGTTCATGTTGTCCTTATCCACCTTTGAGGTCTCCCAGAGCTTGGTGGTATACTTCCAAAACTTGTCCTCAGGGTTTTCGATGCAGGCCAGTTTCTAGGCTGTCAAAGCATGGGTCATGACCATACCAAGCGTCACATGGTGAGACATTCAATGCCTTTATAAGGAGGCGAGTTTCATCGTCCCAAGACTTGAATGTTCCAATTGCGTTTCCCAGGTGCATATGCAAGAATGCATGCAGCCAACTTTCTGGATATGGTAACCTATATGGTTACATGGTATCCAAACATCAGATAGGGCTAGGTCCGGGCACATCTAGATACCACAGGTAAAACTATAAAGGAAACTTGAATCACAAAACTCAAAACTATTTGATAAATTTCAGGCTGTTTTATTTTGATTGCAAAATGAGCCACTTGGGCCAACAGACCCTAAAGTATTTGGGTGGCACATTTGTTCAATCCAAAAGCCTTAAAGGGAAAGAAACCTAGGTGCAACAAAAACATATTTAGGGTCTCTTGGCCTTTCTTGGAATGCCTGAAAACTAGTTCCACTGTGTTAAGTCAAGAAAGTTCACAGCATGATGAAAGAATTTGCGCAGGGAAACATCATGGGTCCTCGTGAGCTGAATAGTGCTTCAGGGTCGGGCGGATCTCTCGGTTGAATGTCTCTCGCAAAGCCAACCACTTAAGGCGTCCAAGCTCGGTACTGGGCATGGTTCTGCGGGCAAATGTCTGGACCTGGGTCTTGTCCAACTTCCTCTTAGGTGCTTCCGGAACGGGTTCCCCAACCTTTGCCTCAGCAACTTCCTTGGGAGCTCCGGGTGCTTCACTGGGCTTGCTGGGGTCCTGTTTCTTCTTGCTGGAATCATCCTTCTTTCCTGTTCTCTTCCTTTTCCTGGCTGGGTCAATGACATCACTGCCCCCCGACTTGTCTTCGATCATTTGCTCCTTTCGCTTCCGAGCATCCTTGGCCTCCTGCTTTGCCTCAGGCTTTTGGTCGCCTTTTGTCTCAGCAGCCTTTGCCTCGACATCTGCTGGAAGCTTCTCAGGCGCCTCATTGTTGGCCCTTTCCTCCATCTTAGGCTCGACAGCCTCTGATTCATCAGGGCGTTCATCCATGGGTGCTTCTGGTTCAGGAACATCTTTTGTGTTGCCATTATCCCCCAGGCAGGTGGTACTCTTCGCCCTGCTGAGGCTCTCAGCCTTTCCCTTCACTTCTCCCTTAGCCTTTCCCTTTGCCTTTGCCTTGGCCTTGCCTTTGGCTGATGGCCGCCCCCTTCCTCGTTTGGGGACATCAGTTGTGTCACCATCTTTGGGTTCCACTTCCTCTTGCAGCTTGACGGCAAACTGCGAGCGACGTAGCACCTCGATGCAAGCAAAACCAACGTCTTTCAGGTTTGAAACGGCCACCCAAATCCAAACTTAGAATCATATACGATCCAAAAACAAAAACACTCTTGGCTAAATGAATCTAGTGACCACAGGAGCTGATGGGACCTCAATCTCTTCAGCTTCAAAGCTGCCAGCCAGAAGCTCGAGCTCTTGAGGGGCAAGCGGTTGTGTCTCATCGCCCTCTAATCCAAAGGGCAAACTCTCCATGACAAAGACCGGGGTCTGGTGGCTCTTCTCCACCAGGGCCTGCTTGGCCTTCCTTAGGATTTAGGATTCAAGTTCAAGTGGCCAGGAAGTTAGGGAGATGAGGTATGATGAGGTATGCATTGGGAAAGCAAAAGCAGCTGAGGTGAAAGAATGTTCATCAAAAGCACTGTTGATAACAATGCCAAAAATCATTGCCATTTGCTCCCGTTTGGCATTGGCCAAGGCTTTCTGAAGTTCACGGATTTGGATGGCAATTTCATCAGGTTCAAGATCATCTGAATCGGTACCCTTTGCAGGTGAATCGTCGATCAAAACACATTTGTCTTCGTGGTCAACCTCGATTCCCTTGGAAGGTGAGGGCACAGAATCTTTGAGAGTATCATCAGCGTGGGAACAAAGCGCTTGAGTCTCCGGTTCGGGAACCTCTTCATGCATAGGTGTTTTGTCAGGGAACGCAGGGAACTCTGCCTCAAAATGAGCCACAGAGGAAAATTGCGCATCCAAGGTCAAAGGCTGCATGGCATCGTCCATGTCATCGTCCCTTTCATCCTCTTCGTCCTGGTCCGACCCAACCTTGTCCATGTGCACTTCATCACCTGACACCTCACCATCGTCAGCCTGTGGTTCCTGCTCCTTGTCGCCATCCTCCTCCAGATGTGAACCCCAACCATGTACATGTTGATTTCTTAGCAAACACCTAAGAGTTTCTTTCGAAAGTGCATGATGCATTTAAGGAGGCAAGTCTTGCAAACATGTTGTTTTCTTTACTTTGTTCAATCCCAATCCTCAGCATTTCCCTCCGGGTGGAACACGAGAGACATCAACTTCTGAAAGATCTTACTCCGGCAAAGGACATCACGGTTGAGCTTTTTCTTCAGCAAGACCATGAACCCTTTCACCAACTTTGCCTCCCTTTTGAGATCTTTCTTCCCTGGAGCTGGAAGCTTCATCAAGTCAAAGAGCTTTTTGATCCTCATCTTTGACATGGGGCCATAGTAGAAACAGTGTTGGATATGGAGGTTGAAAATATACTGCAAAACAATTTCACATAATTTATGTATTTCAAGCAGATGTTAACAAAATGAAAAGTGTTAAAGTTGAGACAAAACTCTGCTTGACAACATCGGGAACTGTGACTTGCCCCACTGCACCATCGGGCAAACGGAGTCGTTTGGCAACGGGCGCCAGCTGCTCAAAGTTTCGCTCACCACAAGCAACAACGCACTGCGGCTCCACCATACGAAGTGCCGGTGCAATAAGGCAACCCTTCACCCTGACAAATTCCCTGACAGCAACACAAGCTTCCCACTCTGAGGCTAGACCATCTAAGTTTGCGTTTGCCATAGGGAGCTGGCAATGCAAAAGACAGGGCCAATTCTTCCTTCTAAAATGCTGCAGCTTGAGCTGAAACCAACCACAAAACCAATGTTTGATAGGTTTTCCAGCCCAGCTGAAAACACATGAAGTTTGCGCCCATGAACCAAAAAA